TAAATACCTAGTAACTGTGTCTCTTCGGTGCACACGTTTGGAGGAGAGATCCCCCGTGTGCCCGGCGCCGTAATAAAGAATACCTGCTAAATAGTCTGCTGACTATTGAGTCTTCAATTCCGGCTTTTCACGGCATCACAGTATGGACTAATGTATGCGATACCTGTTCCAAGTTACAGTTATTTATCTTGTCATTGAAAGTGGCGATGTCATATCTACATTAACAGCTGGACAATTTTCCGTATAGTACAAAAACGTAAATGCAAGGAAGATAATACTGAGCAAAATATGAAGTTGTGCAGCCAATACTGAATTAAACATAGTGGGCATTTTAGCTCGTGTTGTGTTTTGCTGTAGAACACCACAGAGATTTTGTGGAGTATTCAGCTGCCATTGCTGAGTGCTGTTCTCTGGGTTTATTTTTTAGAAGAGCTTGAGGATTTCTGCCTTTTCCCATTCCTCCCAGATGCTTTGTTTAGAGTCATATCTTTATTTTGTTTTTACTTGAAGTGCTAATCCTTCCTGCATTTCCTTCCACCTAACTGATGCAAAGAGATGGTTCTAAACAATGTGAATGAGAGAGATTATAAATCCTCTCGCAAGCACCAGTAGCATCTCTCCTCCTACTGAATTGTTTCTAATCGATTATGAGTTACATTTCCCTCTTCAGTCTTGAAAAGTGGAGACGGGCTGCCACAATGAGACTTAGGTTGTTCTGCATAATTTTGATAGTAAATCGTACTCTTACAGTGAGAGCGAACTGTAGATGAAAAAACATGAAATGTTTCTGTATTGTTTTGAAGTCGTGAATGACTTCAAACCAACTTCCCAATATGCTAATTTGGTAAGTAATGTTTTCATGTTGTTATGTTAGCAGCTCGTTTTTGTGAGGTGATGTTTTTAGACAGCTTGAGGCCTTTTCAGCAGAGAATGTGCTGTTGGTTGCTCTACCAGAATCATTCCACAACATAAGTCAAAACTAAGTTTCAAATTAAGATTTGCTGCTGTCAAACATTTATCCACCTAGCAAAGGGACAGTTATACCACACTGGCAGCAAAGACCCCCTTTTTGTCTCCAAATATACTGTTGCTAGTCAAAAACTGGCTGGAAATCATGCCCAGAAATATCCTGGTTAATTCTAAAAGCTCAGGAAAAAAGTATTCAGTTTATGGCATCTAGTCCAATGAGAGGAACCATTTGTCACTAGATAATGCTGTACATTAAGCATGAACAGTAGCCAACAAGTTGATGCAGTGAATTTAGAAGCGTGCCACCTGTTGGTTACCATCATAACAAACCTTTCTTTTATGATGCCTGAATAATGGCCACTGGAATAGTTTAGGTTTTAGTGATGTTAACTTGTATGTATAGTTGTAAACCAATAGTTCTGGACCTCTCTTCATTCCTGGAAGTTGGTTATGTTTTGCAAAACCAAAACTGAAGTATTCTAATTCTAGCTGTGGTTAAGACAGTGTGGTGGATTCTGAATTATTTGAAATGGGTTTGAGTGTTAGCCAGTTCAGTGCTGTTGATATGCTATTCTTTGCAAATAGGATTAAATACCCTGCAATTGGTAGGTAATGGGATTAATTAATATTTAATATTCAGGAGTTGTTGCATGTTAATTACGTAATCACTTTCTTTGAGCACACTTTTGTGTGTTCTCTCAATTCTTATACAAGACACCAGTTTCACCCCATGTGTTTTCCCAGTTGGGAGTAGAAACTATATTTTTAGACCTTCCTACTGTTCTGTCGTATCTCATAGTCAGTAGGAAACTCTGTCACACATGCTGCCAGTGTTTACTGTTTCTCCAGATTTGGATAGGAGGTTGCAGGGGAAGAATTTGAAGAAAATGTTTGCCTGATGGCAGCCTGTTCCTTTCAGTTCTGTGCATCTGGGGTATTTTGGTGGTCCTATAGAGGCAGCTTTTGTGAGGCAACTAGAAAGTATGTATTTGCTCTAAGTGAAGTACTTGGTGTGCGAATGTGGGAAGATGTGCAGCACCATAAAAAATACTTGAAGAAAAAAGCTAGTCTAGGACTCCGACTCTGTACAAGATACTCTGCTGCTTCATAGATTCACTAACCCATCTAAGCAAATTGCTGCACTTGACTATATTGGAACTAGAAATACATACAGAATATTTGGGGGGTTACACTGGACACACATACAGTTATAGTCTGTCAGGGCAGGACTCCATATATGTAAGCCAGGAGCATGTAGGTAGAATGAATTATTTCTGGTATTGCAAGATAATGGAGACTGAGTCTGATCTTCAGTGTGCCTGGGTGCCTGAACTACTAAGTGAGTGTTGCAGTTAGTTGATTAATACTTGGTTAGGAACTGCCACAGTTCTTGGAGGGAAAGGGGAGGTTCCTTCCCTTTGTTCTCTCAGAGGAATGGTGCATAAATTGTGGGTGGGTTGGTTGGTTGTTTTTACTTTTCCTTCCCTCTGGCTGCCTAATCGAACTGTATCTGCTTTCCTGGTTAAAATTTTTCCTGTGAGGTCCAGGCAAGCAGGCTGATGCATCCTAAAGTTCTGGCTGCTGGCAGAAGTAGATACTTACGCTGAGGATTTGAATTAGGAGGAGATGTATGCATGATATTTAAATTCTGTTCTGACCATGGTAGACGCTGAGATTCTCCTTGCTGTAACATCTTTGCAGTCCCACTCAGCTACAGGCTGTGTTCTGTGTTTAACCCAAACTGTTTTCACTTGATTCTTCTCTTCTGTGCCACTTTGACTTTGCTAATTAACATTGTTGCTGCTGTAGAAACATGGGCCTAAATTTGTCAGAGTAACAGGAGAAGGATAATCAGTCTTTTCTTATCTTTCATCTGTTCAAAGTTAGATGGATATGGACAAGCATTTTTTTTTTTATTTAGAGATAGGAATCCATACTCCTCTTAATGAACAAGATTCTGTAATGAGGTAAGACAGATTACTGGCACAATTAGCAGCAGTTCTCTCTCTTCTCATGGAGACATTGGTGGTCCATAAGCGTGTGGTGGTTTGGCTGGAATGCGGAATGCTTTTGCTACATACTAATGCTACGGTATTTCAGTATCCAGCCAGCAACAACCGCTTTCTGGAAAAAGCTGTTTTTTGGCCAGCTTCTGCAATATTTCCTGTACTCCAGCTTCAGATCCTATGCTGTCAAAAACTGCGCAGACACTTCATTAGTCTTTTTGGCCGATACTTTCATTAGATGGGGGTATGTGTCAGGTAAGTGTGATAAAACTGCTAAGTCAACAACAGCCTTTGACTCCACCTATAAACTATTGTGTACTTGACTGCGTAGGGTATTAAATGGCGTGGCTGGCTGTTGCTGAGATGTTTTAGGGAGATGGATGATAGTTTGACATTCAGTCAAGGAAACTATTTTTCATATTTTTGTATAGTCTTGGAAATTAATAGGGAAAGTTGAAAGCTGACAGACAACAGAGTGGATTACTCTTACCTCTGCATATTATTTTCAATATACTTCAGCAGCAGAAGTATTTCCTTCATCATCTACTGTCTAGTGAAGCCAGGTAAATGCAGCTTGCTTTACTTAGTTTGCTAAGATGAAAACAGTGCTTTTTTCAGTGGAGAATATATTACAAAGTGGTAAATGTTATGGCTTCTTACTCATTTCAAAGTATGCATTCACTTACTGTAAGAGTAATCAAGAGTTTGAGTTTTATTAGACTTCTGTCTCCAGAGCCTTAGTTTCTAACAATGATTTAAAATACCTTGCCTGGTAAAAACGTTCTCAATTTAGGTGTGGACTCTAAAGTTGCTAATACTTTTGTGACACTGTAATATTATGGTGTAGGTTTTTCACTTGGAAAACTACTTCAGAGTGATTGAGAAGACTGAGCATGTTGCATCTCTGCTTTGGTAGTGCTTTGACTGACTGCGTGTTCCTTTCTGGATGAAAAATGAACATTTCGGTTTTGTACCTATATGTAGTAAGTAAACAGTTCAAAACGGTTTTGAAGAGGATAATAGCATGACTAATAATGAGAAAATTGTAACTTGCTGCCAAACAAATAACACTTTCAGCACACTTAAAATTCGCGATGCCTAGTTCAAATGATGGCAGTCATTTTAGGAGTATTGCCATCAATATCTACAAGGAAATGTTAACCTTTTTTTCCAAGGGGTTCCAGTGGCAAAGTTTACAGAAACTCTGACAGTGACAGTAAGTCCTTGGAAAGGGAATTTCCTGCTCAGTATGAGTTTGAGGTTTCTGTCATGCAGCACTAGGCAAGGTACATACTTAGACTTCAGTATCAAGCCTGTATCTGTAGTATTTATTGAAGATTCATAGCAAGTTAATCAGCCAGCAGACTAAATACTATAGATACAAGATACCTCTTAAATGGTGTGCAGGGTCACAGTATAGGATTCCTATTTTTTCTCAAAACTGATGATTGGTCTAAGTTTTGTGGTGATGGGTGAGTAATAAATATGCAGAAGCAATAAACAGTATTATGTTTTTACCGTTTTCTCTGAGGTAGTTAAAGATGCATTTCCAGCAGTGGTGCAACTGTATTCTGTAAAAACCTAGGTTTGCTAAAACATGAGCCTAAATTTGAGCATAAGGCTCATCAAAGAAATGCTTTTTGCAATGCGTAAATTTCTGGCCTTTGAAGAATAATTTCCTAGACTGGGGTGGCCGTTGAAGAATAGTGAGGAGAAAGATACTTCTCTCCTTAACTCTAACCCTAACTGTAGATCTTTTTTCCCCCATCTCCCCAGTACTGCATAAATTATGGGGAGAGAGGGAAAGGGGGCTGTATTGCTTCTATTGCAATTACAATTTTTTGCTTACCCTACATGACGTTATTAAGATGAGTATGGCTTTTTCTGAAAGTTTTGGGAGTAGGGGTTGCTGAGCTTTAGAGACAATTGACTTTCATTTTTATGTTTTTTTTAATCTAGTAATGCCCACAGTTGGCTGACCTTTTAATTTTTTTTTTTTTTTTTTCTCTTTTTGTCTCCTATTAAGGTTTCGTTTTTGCACTGAATGTAGCCAGGACGGATCCTTGTGGGCTTTGGCAGCCCTTGGAAACTGTCAAAGGTAAAAATCAATCAAAGCTCCATATTGCATTCTCGAAAGTTGGAGGCGAGAACAACGTTAGCCTATACCAGTTCTTCACCAACTATAGGATATGTTGCTGTTTTTGTATACTTTCTAGTGTGTTATTTCCTGTGAGCTTGGGTGTGAAGTTTTTTCTGTAACTGTCTGATATGAATTGTTTTTGTCAGCTAAAGTTGATGCATATGATGTTTTTCTTTGAAAATTACTTGATTTATGATGAGATTTTTTAAAATTGGTAAGTGACTAGTTCTTACAAGCAATGAAGTTGCATTCAGGTTTTGTTTGTCTTCTGGATGTTCTTGCTTTCATCTTAGTACCTCTCAACTCACATTTAAAGTCACAAAAAATATTCTGCTCTTTTTCCATATGTTAAATTTTATGTTGCTTTTGTACATTCTTAACAAAGTTGATGTAAAGCTGTAGCAATTAGTTATAATATGGCTAGACTATCAGTTAAAAATTGACACTTTTTTGTCTACATAACTAGACAGACTAATGATTACAATCATCTGTCAATACAATAGTGTCAAATAAGCAGAGTCTCATTTAAGACATAGTTCAGTACAGCACTGCCTTGTTATGCTTTTTTCAAGTATGCCATGTATACAAGATCACTATCTTTGAAAAGCACTTGTGTGCCTGTTTTGCTTTGTGCTCTGTGAGAGAGCGAGACCCACCCTCAATTTCTGCTTACTGTCCGTAGTGGTGACAGCTTGCACAGCCTTACTGCCCTTCAAGGGTTTTCCAGTGAGCCATATCCAGTTTAGACTTTGGTATTCACAGGAACCACAATTGGTATTACATTAATAAGTGCTTCTCTTGCACCTGCACTCTTTAGAAGCTTGAAATAATTTTTATTTCTATATCACATGAAGAACAGTTTTCCTCTTTAGTTCATACTTGATTGCTGCTGGCAATCTGAAGAAAGTGTGTGAAATGCCTGTGTACTAGATAAGGTGCTCAGTTCCAGTGATGCCTGTTTGATGAACATCAAATATGAAGACATTTGGATTCCAGCTCTCTTGTTAATGAGGATCTTGTGTTTCTGAATGGTGGACCTTTCTGTCTGGGGGAAAATGAGGCCTGAGGAAATACCTTTTTCACTGCTATTACTTTACAGGGATTTATAGGTATGTGAAGATGTGGCTCAGGTTTTACTTGCCAGAGTGGGCTAGAATGCAGTAGTGAGGAGAGAGCTTCCATAAGGTGCACTGTACTTGTGCTTGCACTGAATTTATGACTCATAGCTGTGTCCATCATCCCGACACCACGGAATGAAAAGTGTACGTCTTTGCTGCAGAAAGAGACGGAACATAAATAGGACTAAATATCAAACTGGATTGTCCCAAAGCCATATTGGTTTATGACACCACAATGTTATGGTAAGCATTAAAGGTCAAAAGAACTGCAGCTAGTTCATATTAGCGAGTGTTTTTACCTTTGAGAATAGATTCTCATCACTGTATGATATTTTGAAGAGTTGAATAAAAACTATTACCAACTTCAGACACGCATCATATATTGACGTATCTCTGCATTGCTATCTGTCAGACCTTCCTTGGAGTCCTTATTCAAGCCACAAACTTGGTTAATTTTTCTAAAAGACATCAGGTAAATAATAAGATTGGAGGATTGTGCCATCTGAAGTAGTTTAGGTAGGTATATGCAATAATGGAAGAAAAGGATGTTCATACTTTTGAGCTTTTCCAAGGGTGACTTTGGTGGATGTCAGACCTGAAAATCTAAATACACTGTCTATAAACTTCGCATATTTTTGTCTCCCTAGGAACCTGGCATATCACGTAAATATTGGAAGTAAATAGATGCCTGTTGGCATTTGGCCTTTTTTCCAGTCCTATAGGACACTAGTACAAATTTTGATTGCCTGTCTGTCCTCTGTGTACAAAGTAAACAGCGCTATGTGTAACTTAGCCCTCTGCTCACAGCCTAGTGAGCTGAAGAGGCAGTGTCAACAACATGGAACAATTCTGTTGTTTCTTCACATGCTGGCACTAAGCCGTCACTCTGTCTGAGAAGTCATCCTCAGCTGTAAATGACTGCTATGAAAGTCTGCCATACAGGTAGTTTCCTGTGGATTCAGGAATCCCTAAATGCCTGCTTTTGGCAATAAACAAACTTGAAATACAGCACTCTTGTGTCAGTGGTCATGGGAATCAAGGATTCACATATGCAGAAACAACATAAAAATCATAGTATTGAATGGGACTCATAGTTTGTTGCCTGATGTTTTGTCTCCTGAAAGAAACCAGAAGCAAATGCAATGGGGAAAAATACAATAGAAGGGTAATGTTCAGCAAAACTTCTTCTTGCAACACCTCTAGCAGTCTGTGGCTTAGGGTCCTCCTACACCAGCTGCAAGATTTTTTTTTTTGTGGATTTACTTTTCCCGTTGTGAAGTTTTCCAGTAAATTATAGAACCTTTTAAAATTTCCACCTTCTTGCCATCCCATGGAAATGAGTTCGTTCTAATTGAGCATTGTATGAAATAGTATGATATGTTTTGAACATTAAAGCTGATAAAACGTGAATTACTGGATAAGTGAACAGTGAGTGAATAAATTCTCTTTTTGTTCTCCATTACATTTGGTATTTTTATTAGATTTATTACTATTTTTCTATTTCTTACTCTGTTCCCTGAGCTATGGATAGTTCCAGTGTATTTAATCTGTATTTAAGAGCTTGCTTATCTTTGTTCTTGTAGCCTATCAGTTTTTTTTTCATTTCCTAGTTCTTCTGACTTTTTTTTTGTTTCAGATGCGCTGGTTGGTAGTTTTTTGTCTTCTTCCAGGAGTAATATATAAAAACTGGTGTCAAACTTTGCCACTTTCCATTCCTCTGGTAGAAGATAAACATGGCAGTTTTCCAGAGGTTCATGTTGAAGTTCTTCCAGCATTTTGAATGAACAGTGTCTCGTCCTGGCAGTGGTCTTGGCCTGACCTGACTGGTCTTGTTTTATTTTATAAGGTTTTTTTTAATGGTTCTGTAGCTCGAGTTCAATCTTGCTTATTTCTCTCATTTGAAGCCAGTTCAGTGCCACAGCAATTCTTCTGGCCAAAGCTGTTTTGGCCATTAGACATCAGACTATCTGTCTAACAACCTGTGGAGCTTCCCGATTACTTGAATCATTTGTTGCAAAATGGTGCTCAGAAACTCCCAGCTCCAGCAGCAATGGAGTTGGTTTCAGAAACTGAGCGTGGTGAAGTACCATGGACAGGGCCTCCCCGGCCGGTCCTCCTCCCCTCCTGCCGCCCAGCAGAAGGTAGCCTGACAGCGAGAAATGCTTGTTATATGCAGGAGGACCTGGACATAGATGCATGATACAAGTCTTACTTATTATTTGATACCTACGATTTTTGATTATATACTCCAGGTGAAATATTTGATGAGGATTTAGGTGAGAGTTCTGCTTTGTCCTCATTCCCCTTTCCCCAGAAAAGGAAATTACTGTGTTGTAAGTCTTTACAGCTGTCATGTTTTGCATGAGAGTATATGATATTAGTGAACATAACAGTTTTTTGGTTATAAGATTTAAGAAGTTGTAGGTAATGTTTTTTAGCTTCAGGCCCTGTATGTTTGTAGCACATATTCTTCATTCCTTGAGTCAACTTAATAACCATGAAAGATGTTGTCTACCTGTGCGCAACATACAGAAGACACTGGCATTGCAGACAGCTTTGCCTTATGAACAGGCTTTAACCTTGAAATGAAGGAGGTGCATCTAAATGAACAATTTCAAAGCTTTCTCTTTTTAACCTCGTCACTATTTGCACTCCCAAAGTTGTCAGTTTCCAGGCTTGGAATTGCTGCTGTGAAGGTGACAGTCAGCAGCTCTGTAGCTGAGGTGCAAAAAAGGAGTGGAGAGACTTTAAATGCATTTTAAATGCTGGTGCAGTTGAAGAGTTACAGCATCTTGAGAGGGACAGCTGTTACATGCCAACAGCTCTTGGCTTTGAGAGTTTTTAACTTAGTGTGAGCCCTTACTTTCGATATACCTGGAATGCTATAAATCTGCTGATAGCTTACATCTTGCATTTTGAGAGTCAGAGATTGCTGCTGAATTTATGCTGGTGCGTTTAATCTCCTAAATTGATTAATTTGATCCATTACCCCTGAAAGATGGCTCATCCTCTCGTGTGGAAGACATTCCAATCTTTATAACCACAGTCTCCATCACTATTGCATTCTTCCGTAAATCACTTTACAATTCTAAGAATAGTGTTTGGGGTGTAGATTTTTTTTCAGTTGGAACTGCACTGATACTGTCAAACAAATTCGAAAATCAGTTACAAAGTAATGTTGAATATTGGAAACACTGGTATCTGACCTGGGTTAGATTGGAAATGTCAACCTAAAGATGAATGACTTTATTGGTTCCCTGAACTGTTGAGAGGCTAGAATGTATTTATTTCTAAAATGAAGTCAAGGAAAAATTTACGAAAGTAAGAATTCAGAGGTAATGTGGGATCACTGGAAGTCTAACAATTTTTCAAACTAATAACCATAGAGTGTCTGTAAGCCAACTCTGTGAAGCTTATATTTACGCAAAAGCTGTTTCCTAGTAAGTAAGAATTGCTCAGCTCTAGTCCGTGTGATTATTCCTTACTGACCATAGCTTTAATGAGTAAACACAATGAATAACTAAAATACTCGTCAAAGACATATTTTAAAATTAAAAATAAAGTATATTCATGTTAGGTGCTTTTTTTTCTCTTAATTAAGTAGTGCTGTGTCTTATCCTGAATAACTGTTGTCTTGTTTGTGTAAAACATAAATTGACTAAATATGTGCGGAATGGGAACACTGAGGTTCATAGCTTGGAATTGTTATTTATGTGCAGTGCAATATAGCATAACACTATTAAAGGAAGAAAAATAATTGTTTTTAAAATATGTCTTTTATTTTTTATTTTTTAGGCAGTATTTTGCATTTCTGCAGAGCTTTGCACAGATCCTGTTCCCATGCAAACTGATGAGGGAGAAATACTGGAGGAAGGCAGTCCCAAGGTCAGTGAGGTAAATGCCACTGTGTTTTGGAGGAACAAGAGCTTGTGTGGCTGAAATGGGTGATACGTGGAGTGAACACTGACTGCTGGTGGTGTTTTTAATAAATACCTGCATGCAAGTAAATAATATTGATTACCATGGAAATATTTAAAAACCAAGTTTTTAAAGGCCTTTAGCAAGACGGACTTTTTTGCCATCTGCTAAGGTTTGGAAGATGTGTCTTCGGGCACTCCCAGGGAGGAAAGAGGAAACTCTTGTAAAGAAATACTAACCTTGATTGTATTCCATTTGTTAGGACTGGAAGGTCTTGCCAAGCTTTCTGCCCTATCCATCCACCCTCTCTACTGACTTAAAGAATTAGGCATGTGGGCCTTTAGGTGCAGGTATCAGTGTTAGTGGATTACCGACTGATCTGTATTCAAGCTGTTCTGCTTCTTGTTTCCTTGTACTTGCCAGCATGTGCTTTGTTGTGAGACTGGATAGCAGCATATTGCTTTTAAAGGTACCTCTGATTCTCAACATACCTTCTTGGGAGAAGAGGCTATAAAGAGGGCTGTCGAATACAATGTTGGTTGTGTCCTGCTTTTTGATTACTTCCTGTAAGTGCAGATGTTGAGTCGCGAATTAGTTTGGTTTGCAGGACATAGTGATTATCATATTCTTCAATAGGTTTACAAATTTATTTTCAATGGGTTAGTGTTAACCATGCAACTGATCTGTATTTAAAATATGGCTCCTAAATTTATGAAAATCTGAATCATTGTTAGCTTGCTTGTGGTGTTGTGTAAAAGACTGTCTGAAACTAGAGGACTAAAATTAAAATTTGTTGTTCTCTACCTAGAGCTTTTTTGAGAGATGTTCTCATTGTTTTATGCCCAATAGAACAAAACACTTTTTAAGCTGTAGGCATCAAGTTAGGAGGTGATTAATTATTAGAGAAAAGATTTGGCAATTGTCCTGCATGTACTTTAGGAATTGTGTTAGTTTTAAATAGCTTTGAAGGAAGAATTACTTGATTAGAAGCTGACAAATTAAAACATATCAGTGGATGTACCTGCAGCCATCCAGGGTATTGAATGCATCTCTTGACAAGGATGTGATTACAAGGTTCAGTGGGGGATAAACACATGAGAAGAAACATCATGGTGCGATTAATTACTGATTTTGGTATAAGCATGGTTACTGGTGCTTACTTTTCACCAGAGAGAATCATTGTGTGTGTGTACATATTTATGTATATACACACAGGTGTGTGTGTGTATAGATGGATACATGGCTGTCATTTTTTTGTCTGTGTGGCCGAAGTAAACTGAAGTAGCAGTCTTTGAAACTCTTTGCCTCCAATGAAAAGTAAGCTTTTTTTAATTCTTTTTCTTAATTCTGGGTGTAATGGCGGAGATTGTATCTCTATTCCAGCATTAGATGTTCAAAAAATTTAGTGAGCTTAAACTTAAAAACAAATCTTTTAGACTGACTTTGAATACCTATGTGTGTATGCAGTATTGCTTTGAAACAACTGTCATGTAGAGAACATGGGAGATTTGGAACCATACATCTGGTATTCAGTGTTATTAATTAAAGAGCTGTATAGGAGCAATATATATTAAGCATAAAACTCATGACTACATCTAGTCCTTCTCCCTGTCCTGTAATGTACAGGGCTACTCACTGAAGTGTATCTGTCAGTGTTTCTTTAGTCTGTAAATGGTTATCCTCTCTTTCCTGGTCTCAGGAGAGTTTTATAGCTATAATAGTTGAAGGATTTGTCCTAGAAAAATTTAGGCAAAGTATATTCCACTGTATTGTCTTGTACTGTTAAATCATGTCCGTAGTTTACATGATTTAGTGAGCCATTTTCACAAACATATGTTTTTCGAAGAAATATTTTTTAAGACTTCAGTAATATAGTTCAGGTCTTTTCCTCTTGTCAGAACTTTTTTTTCTTTCACCCTTTAACTCCTCTGTGCAGATGACATAGGTTTTTTTGGAAGAAGTTTTGTGCTTCAAAGACACTAATGTAAGCGCTTATTCATATTTTGTGTGGACCTTTGATTTCTCTCTTTTTAGCCATTCCAAAACACTAATCTGTAAATGAAAGCTAAATATGTATTTATTTTTATGCTTATTGTTCAGATCAGTGGATCTTTTTTGTGTGTTTTTCTAGTTTTTTTTTTTTTAATAGTTATATTTAAGTACCAGCAATCCTTTTGGACCTCACTCAGTTTACACTCTGTTCTCAATAAATACCATGATTTACCTATTCTTTTGGCTTCACTAGAAATTATTTTTTTGAGCTGGTAAATGATATCTAAAGAAGCCGTCATCTTCTAGCATTTTGTTTCCTATGAAGAGTTCCAGGTCCTTCTTAAACATTCACATGTTAGCAGCTCTTTTCCTAAACATTGTTGAAGTTGAGTCTGCAGCTCATAGGTCTTATGAGATTAGGTAATGCTGATTAAGCACATTCCAGCCACTTCAGTGCCGATAATTTTGATTATATCATGTAGGAGGTCAGATTAAGGCCCCTTTCTTAGCCTTTGTTCTGAGTAATTCATTTCTAGCCAATAAGAGATGTTTGCATGTGATACAAAGAATGCAATTACTGCTTATGGTGATTTGTAGCATCTTTTATACCTCAGAATAATTATGAAACAAAAGTGGTCAAGCTTTCTGTCTTGAAGTTATTTCTTCAGTCTTGTAGGACTTCAAGAACAGTATTAAAGCTATTGTTGCAAAAGGTGGAGGAAAAGATTGTAGAATTTGTTTTTATACTTTTTTGTTCGTATATTAAGATAAAAACATAAAAATAACATAAAATATAAGTTAAAAACCACTTTATGTTCAAAAGACAAAAGCCCAGGCCTACATACTGGCATGCCTTGACATCAGCTACACTTTAAGCATTTCTGTTTAATAGTAAGTGGCCTTGCTGTGGTTGTGCTTGATACTTTTTGTTGTTTCCAGAATGCAAGATGTTCAGGGGTCTAGTAGGTAGTTCCCCACAGTTCAGACTTTCTCTCTTATTTTGTTTCGATCTTGACATTTGGGCGTCTTGCAGAATGTGCCTGTTACCACTTCACCTGGATTTAAAATGAGAAGTACTTGAACAAGCAGATGTGGAAAATTGTGTTTAGACTCTGTAACCATATTCTTTCCATGCTATATTATATTTTGCCAAGAAGGATATTTGCCAAAATGTCACCTAACAATCACTTCTGACACTGTCTTAATATGATCTCAAGTTAAAAATTGCTCTGTCTTATTTTTCATGAATGTGCATTGAATTTGAGAGAAAGAAAGTAAATATGGTAACTTCTAGAAATCTATTTGTTATGTTGAGATCAAGATGTTTTGTCTTTATCACCATGGAAAGACGTGCTCATAATTTATCTTCGTAAGGAGTTAGGCTCAATACATGAAGTTCAGTATGTCAGAGTGTCAATAACTGACTCTTCTGACTTCACAAAATGGCAAAGCAAGAGGGATTCCTCTTGATACATATTTCAGGAAATGCAGTGATTAGAGTAATAGTCTCAGTTACTTGAAAATGCAGATCTCATGACCAGTTATCAGTATTTGTTTCCAGAGTCTTCTCTGGAAGAGAATGCTTAATTGATAGAAAAGATGTCACTCACTTTTCTCTTTATGTTCTTGACCAGTAGCTTTGGAAGAGGCAGTATATCAATGCTGTCAGCAGTCCTAACCATTAAGAAGCCTTGGTACTTATCTTCTGGAATCACAAGGGCATAACTTGAGGAACCTAATCTGTTGTAGGTTGGGGTATACTTCAATGAAGTATTCTGGGCTGTCAGGGATCGCATCAAAATCATATTCATGGAGATACCATAAACATCAGAGTATAAAGACTTGGGTATTGCAAGAATTAACTTTCTTATGGTGCTAGTCGGAAAATACCCTAAAAAGTTATACATGAAGACTCTACATACATAAACCAAATGATATATCATGCTTTATTCCTTGTGAACTGGCTTGGTTCTAGGACTGTTTCAGATTTTCTGGCAGCCTAGGCTGTATAGTATTCTGAGATTTCAAGGCTAAGCCTTGAAGAGAAAAGGAGACTTCTTTGTGTTTTTGAAAAAGAAAAATTGTGCCTCATGTGGAGCTGAGACACAGTATTTAAAAACTAAATATTTAAGTGCTTCATACTTGCTAATGTTACGTGAGGTATGATTAGAAAATTTAATCTCTGCATTCAGGCATCACGAAGAGTGATAGTCTTGCTTGACTCTTACCAACCTGACAGCACTGCTACAAAAGTTGGCCTTCATGCTTGCCTTTGCCACTCTTGAAAGGAATGACAGAAATCTAGTGGCAACTTCTTGGTAATTAAGCTTAGTGAAAGTTACCGATGGACTCAATACTCACTTTATTATTTGTTTCCCCCACTGTTTTTATTGTATTCATTTTTATTCCAGGTCGTAATTTTTTTTTTTAATATATATGTTGTACTCTCGTTCTTCTCAAGTGTGCTATTTGGGAAGTTTCTACAATTCTTCCCTTTATTTTTTTGACAGCATATCCTTTTGTCATTCATTGGATTGTTTTCCAGCGAAGAGTGGGTTTTGCACATGCTCTTTTCTCTGCTCTCCACCCCTGCCCCATAGGCTGCTTTTGGAAAAGCTTACCATCTTGGTAGCTTTGTTGCCAGGACTTTTCATCTTAACTGGTTCTGTTGTTTGATCTCACAGTTTCTTCCTTGTTGTCAGACTGTCAGAAAATACTCTTTCTGTTAGAATGGCATGAACATGGTAAGGACAGCTGGCACCTGTCAATAGCACACTCTTGATTCCAATAATTATCTGAGTGTCACAAAGGGGGAAAACAACCTGTACGGAAGTAAGCTTTTTCAAATGAGTCCGGAGTTTTTAAAAACCTAGTTATTTCTGGCAGAGGTAGAAGTGTTGTTTGACAGGAGTATTGGGTCTATTTAATCCGTATGATCTGTGCTGAATATCATACAGTGAAATATCCTTTCACTT